CAACACCGAGGCTTGCAATCCCGTTGCCGGTCCCCGGTCCGGTGCGGGGGCAGCACTGAGGGTTGCGATCCGTTGCCGGACACGGAAAAAAGACAAAAGACAAAAAAAAAAAAAAAAAAAAAAAGATTAGGAATAAGGCAACAATGTTTACTCTCACCATTATTTAATTTTGTATTGGAAGTTCTTGCCAGTGCAATCAAGCAAAAAAAGAAATAAAAGCCATCTAGATTAGAAAAGAAGAAGTACAATTGTTTTTATTCACAGGTTATGTGGTTGTCTATGTAAAAAGTCTAATGGAATTTATTTTTTAAAAAGTACTAAAACCAATAGTTTTAGGAAAGTTGCAGGATACCAGATCAATGTATAAAAATTAATTGTATTTTTAGATACCAGTGACATACAGTTAGTAATTGGAATTCAAAAAATATATATATCATTTATGATAGCATTGACAAGTATGAAATACTTAGAGATATATCTAACAAAAGATTAGCAGGACCTATATACCAAACCTACAAAACACTACTGAGAGAAATTTTAAAAGACCCAAGTAAATGGAGAAATAGACTGTGTTCAGAGGTCAGAAGACTTGATATTGTTAAGATGTCAGTTTTTCCCTGATTGATATGTGCATTCATTGCAATCTCAGTCAAGATTATAACAATCTCCTTTTGTAGAAACTGATAAGCTGATTCTGAAAATCATATTTAAATGCAAAAGACCCAGAATAGCTAAAATAAGTTAGAAAAAGATAAAAGTTGGAAAACCAAAACTATCCAAATTCAAGATGACTTATAAAGGTAGAGTCATCAAGACGGGGTTGTATTGGCATACAGAGAGACAAGTAGATTGAAGCCATAGAATAAAGTCCAGAAATAGACCCACATGTGTGGTTAAATGACTTTTGACAAAGCTACAAAGAGCCATTCCATGAAAAAGGATAATCTTTTCAACAAATGGTGTTTCAATAATTGGATACCCATATTCAAAAAAAAGAACATCAATCCATCCCCCACACCATATAAAAAATTAACTCAAAATGGATCCAAGACCCAAATGTTATACCTAAAACTATAAAATGTGTAGAAGAAAACAGGAGAGAGTTCCAGTCAAGATGGCAGAATAGATGGTCCCCAGCATCACTTTCTCCCACAATCAACCAATTTACAACTATAAAAATGTAACAACAGCCAAGCTGGGGCCACTGGAGCTCAGGGGAAGAGGAGGAGAGACCTACGGAGTTCATGAAAGGGGAGAAGCCACGATGAGAGAAAGAAAAAACTGCTCCGAGCGTTTTAGGCTGTGGCCGCTTTGAGGCTCGAACTGCTGAGTAAATGGAGCAGGAGCCAGCAGAAGCCACAGCTGTGCCCTTTGGATGGAGTTGCTTGGAGGCAGCAGGGGAGAAGAGGGCCTTGGCCCCCAGGATAGCAAGACCACTAATAGGGTTCCCATGGACCCACACAGGAGTGAGGAGCCAGAACAGCTGAAAAAGGGGAGCTATTCAGAGGCCAGTGAGTCATCGCAAGGGACCAGCACAGGCCCCATCCCATGGGAAGTGTTTGGAGCATGGGCAGTGGGGGAGATGAGCTCACCGGGAGAACACTGGGACACAGCAAGCACAGCCAACCCACCCCCTAGTCAGCATAGGACCACTCAGAGGAGACTGGTTGGGAATGCAGAATTGCATGGGGTTCAGTTTTATGAAAAGAATCAGGCCCAGATCAGAGTTTCTACACAACTCAGGTGCACCGGGTCTCTGGAGAGCAGGAAGTACCTATAAGGTCAACCATTAAACCCTGAGCTGCACAAAAAAGTCTTCCCTAGGGAAACAGCAGCGAAGCAGCAATTTAGCTCAATCACACAGCTCAAGTACTGGTTCTCTCAGGAAGTTCCCCTGTTTCAGAAGTAAGCAAAGAACAAAAAATTAGTTATAGCCCAGGCACACCATCAGTGCCTCAGGAGCCCGCCAGGAGACCCAGGACATGGAGCCAGGGACTGGCCCCTAGCCCACAACCAGGCACACCGCCAACACCAAGGAGCATGCCAAAAACATCACCTCCATGTGAGTGGCCCACCACAGCCACCACAGTAACCACGGCTGCCGTGAAAGTGGCTAGACATCACAACCACCATGCAGATGGTCTGCCAGCCACTGGAGTACAATGACACAAGAAGAGTCACGAGCAGAGACCAAAGAAAAGAGGCTTTCTTTCTTCACAAAGCCCATTCCAGAGTGACAGAGGAAGCATCTGCTCTATGATAATATTGGGGGACCTGAACACACCTCTCAGCATTGGACAGATCATCTAGACAACAAATCAACAGAGTAACCATTACTCTTTCAGAGGGAGAGAAGAAATCTAGGGTTATCAGTGGTGGGAGGGGGAAGGGAGAGGGGGATAGGGAGAGATTGGACAAGGGGCGTAAAGAATAAGTATGATTTGTAACAATAGACATACTAGTAATATTGATTTGATCAACATGTCAAACATGTCAACCCTGAATCCCCAAAATATGCATAATCAATTATGATTAGATTTTTTAAAATAAATAAATAAATATAAATACAAAAGGAAAAAAAAGAAAGTAAACAAGAGAAAATCTTTGGGACTTAGTAAAGATTTCTTAGATACAACACCAAAAGCATAATCCACAAAAGAAAAAATAATTGATAAATTGCATTTCATCAAAACTAATAATTTATTTTCTTTGAAAGATACTGTTTTTTGTTTTGGTTTTTTTTGTTTTTTTTGTTTTTTTTGTTTTTTGTCTTTTTTCGTGTCCGGCAACGGATCGCAACCCTCAGTGTTGCGCCCGGACCGG